CTGCGGTTTAGTATTAAGTGCGCGGATTCCGAGGTAACTTAGCCGTCACCTGGAGATGTCTGTTATCAGCGATGTCAGACTGGCAAGGTTCTGAGCCGCGACTGTCCGTGGTGCGTGGATCTTTTTTTACAATACAATTAATGGTATTAAGTTAGCGTGGCCCATTTCAGTTGTTTGTTACGTTGCAGGGCAGTCGTTAGCGTCGGAGATGACTCATTTGATAAGGTTCTGAATTTGTATGTTGGGGTTTCTTTCGAGAAAGGCTGACCCAAGTCCTCCGTCAATTAAAATTATGATAACATTAAGTCTACGCCGGCTAGCAACACGGGCGAAGAGAACAGGCTTAAGTGGTCTTTATTCTGTTTCCTTATAGTGTCTAGTTTATGAATGCTTTCTTTTTTCACAGTCTTGCTCGCATAGTGCCCTACTTTCACTCGTTGCGTAGTGACGATCTGTAGAGAAGGGCTTTTGGGTAATTGAAAACGACAGGTCATTCCAGCTTTTTGGGGCACGAAAATATAAAGAAGTTGAGTCATACAAAATAGATGCCCAGATATAAGACCACTTTTTAATGAGCACGAATAACAATATAATGATTACACAACATATTCCAAAGTTTTTGGAGGGTCAATGTTTGAAATTTTGTGATGGATTTTGTTATTTAAGCACCTTTCCAAAATAAGCTAAAACTCACGAAAATGAGATATATTGATACATTTTATAATGGATCGCAACCTAATTAATTTTACTATCACCCACCTCAAAGAAACTCAATTTTCAGGAACACGAGTCCAAGAATTCTATGCAATTTCAATTTCAATGAAGGCTTAAGGTTTCCGCCAATTTATTGAAATACGCGTAAAATAATACCAGAATAGTGTTGTTCGAGTGTTTAAAAGATAGAACATTGAAAAGTACTTCGAATATCCCATATCGTAATAAGCTTTCGGAAAGATAAGCCCGTACATCCGACACATTATTCGACGACTGTGAAAACGCGCCGCCTTTCCACTGGCACAATACACTGACAAAGAAATCCATGGTGTCGTATGAAAGCAGCAACAAGTGGATTCTGTTAGACTGTAGTTAACTCCGAGCCACCCGCCGTATTTTGAGCACTGAGTTTTCATATTGATATGACATCGATATAATTACCTACTTCGTATGATATTATAAAAATATACGAGTTAGTACTCGTATATATTTTATCCAAAGGTATGAAAATGGGTCAGCACATTTCAACTCTATATATTTGTCACCAATAGGTACCTAATTCTCATGATTGGACGTTATAATACAACATTCACTGTGGCGGGAGGTATTTCGGTAGGTTTTGCGAGAACAAAATTGTACTTTGCATATCTGTTTGACGTCTCTAATGGACGCGCATTAGAGTTGACAAGTAACGCCAAGTCCATGCGCTACACAGAACTACATTACGCAGGATCTAACACACTTGTTCCATGAAAGACCATTGGTATCGATCAATAACTCACATCTTATCTTCTTCGTTGGCATGGAGTAGGAGAGAGGAAGACTGAATTAGACTTCTGTTGACCGTCTGTGTCCAAGTTTAGTACGGCAACACCGATCAGTTACGTTTCTGCGCTTTTGATATCTTAATTATCTTTACTACCTTAATATCTGTGACGCAATATTTATCAGCATGAGGCGCACATGAGGCTATCTCCATCACCTAAGTTACCCGGCTAATCTATCGCAGTTTAGGAAGCGGTGATAACTTCGCACGTGAACTACTTCTGACACAAAAGATGATCTCTTGACCTGTTACTTTCGTCAAAAGGGGCAGTGTATACTGTGCTTGGTCTATAACTCCAAGCTATTGCCAAAAAGATTATTAGATTGATAGAAAATAATCTGCTAATAGAGATAGAGTACGAGAGATATAATAAGTAATTTGTCGCAAATTATGTGTATAGCAAATTCATTGTTAGCAGCTGTGCTCTGTGGTTCGAATCTATGATATGCATACGTGAGTTCATGTAAATGCATATACATATAACATATATAAAATAAATAATATCCACATACTTATAAGAAATTGCTAACCATACGATCCGATGGGCTAATAGCGAAGTCAATGGCAAGTCTAAGTTTAAAATAACCTACGATTCACAACTTAAAATTTTCGTTCTGAAAACATAATTCACGTGGCCTCATAGCTCTTCAAATATTGTAGCGATTTGGAAATTCTGAAAAGTAAATCATTTAGCATTTTCAAATAATACAGATGCCGAGAACAAAATATTAAGAGTTCAAAAATATTGAACATTTTACAAACGGTCTAACAAAGACTGGTGAGTTTTACTCAAGTGGTGCATCCAGTATATAGACTTGACATTAACGTCAACTGTTATTCTTAATGACAACAACCCTTCAGGAAGCGGATCTCGAAAAAAACACATAATTTGCGCAATTTTCCCCCGCTTGGGATATTTCCTCGAGCGCACACTCACAATACCCGCAAATTTCGTCGCAAGTAAAAAACACCGCAAAAACCGACCTGTCCGCGGCCGCCGGTCTTTTATTACGGAACGGGCAGCGCGGCTTCCGGGGCGCCCGCGGGAGCGCTGGCGGCGCGCGCGCAAGGGCGCCTGCGCGGGCGCGCGTCACGCCGCCGGCCGGCCGGCCGTTCCGCCAGCCGCGCACGCGCGCGGCGATCGTGAAACAGCGGACGCACGCCGCGCGTGCTAGTTCCGCCGCGAGAGGCCTGGCCTGGGCATAGCTGTGCGGCGGCGATGCGGCGCGAGCACTGCTCCGGCTTACATACCCTGCGCTCCTGAGCTAGTCCCTTGCGGCAGGCGCGCGCCTTGCTCAATCGCGTGAGGCATTCCGAGCAGTGGAGAACGCTTTGGCATTCTGTTGAATGCAAAAACCCGACGTAGAATAGGGAAAAA